AAATAAATAAATAAAATGTAGAAAATGATTAATTTTAACAATACGAGCTTTTGGCAAGAATACTTGAATGCAATAATAATCAAAAGGCAGATTTTCAGACAATCAAAACAGTAAAGAAATGTGCACCTCCATTGCCGGCTAACTCTTTAGAGATACTGCCTCATTTTACAGATGGAAAACTAAGGCCCAGGAAAGTTAAGTGACATCTGGTTATGCCTTCCCACTGGGAAACTCTCCCAGTGAGAATTTGACAACATTGATTATCCATTTGGTGGTCACGTCGGCCGTTTTAGAGAAACTTCAATCTTCATTCCCCCTTTTAAATAAGAAAGTGGAAACTTTGAAGGTTTCCCAAGGTGAGGGCCTTCTCTTCTTGCTTGGTGACTCTAATTCCCACGAGGTTTGGGTTAGCAAATGTGGATGAGTCCTTGCATACAGCAGGAGTTGTGTAAAGAGGAAGAAGATAGATAGAAGTCATGAGCCAAGGCGGGGCCGTCAGGCCTTCCTGCATGTGAAAGCCCGGCCCTCTTCGTCACTAGCCCACAGCTGGTAAGATGCTGGCATCACGTAGACATCCCGGGAATCAGCGGACAGCTCAGGCTCAGAGTAAACGGAGGACATAAATTTATGACAAACCAAAGTGCTCCTCCATTTTACACACCATAATAGTTTTAGCTGTGGCCAGAAATACCATGTTTGTGGGGTCACTTCATTTTTCCAAGACTCTCCTGATACTTCAAAACTCCTCATTATCACAAAATTATGGGAGGTGACATCTTGGACATTCACAGTAGGTGAAATCCACTAAAAGGCGGAATTCATTTCCCGAAGTGACACAGGAAGTCAGAGGGGAAGCATATTTCATGCTCCTAACCTCATACTAAAAGCCATTCTGGTTAGATCAGGAAGGGGAATTCTTCCACTGGCTGTGGCCCAAGCTGTCATTCTCAAAAGGACTCCTGTAGCACATTGAATCTGCAGCAGGCCTCTTTCTATTCCACTTTTTGTTTCTCCAAGCAGTATAATTTTTTCCAGCACAATTATTAAAAAAAAAAAAAAAAAAAGCAAGGGGGTGGGGTGGGGTAGAGAGATTCCAGAAACTAACAAGATTCTGGTGCCAGGAAGGCATTGGGGAGAACTTTAGTTCCTTGTTTAGTTCTTTGATTTACATAATGAAAACTTGTGGATTGATGGATTCCTCCAAGGACAGGCCCCGTATCCAGCGTACTGTGCTGTTAGTCTGGGGCCTGGCGTGAAGACGGCAGCAGAGCATGGAAACAGCTCTGCAAGGAGCCAAATGGAAACAGCCTTTTCCTCCCACCCCAGACAGCAGGTTAGTCGGGGAGATTATTTCTGTAAGTGGGAGATTATTCTGTAGATTAGCCACCCAACCCCAGAGCACAGGTCATCAAGAACGGATGACTCTTATAGGGGTTTTCCCCTTTATAGGAATCAGAGCCCTACAAGCAAAAGAAGTGATCCAGCCAGGGTCAAGTCAAGGACACCTAAGAAATGACAAACTGGTAGCACGACTGGGACCTAATGGATTTAGAGCAGTGAAGGGTTAGGTGGAGTCAAAGATCTGAGGAAAACCTGTGAAGACTTTATTATTTAAAGTCTGAATAATAAACTTCATTATTTAAGTTTAGTTATTGGGAAATACCTGGGAATTACAGCTGTCAATGACACCATCAATATTGTTAAATTCATAGTCCACAAGCAAAGTTTGGCCAAAAGACATCTTTCTGTTAGTTCCTGGCCACCAGAAATAAACCGGCCAAAAGACTGTAAACAAACAAACAAACAACAAAAAAAAAAATGGTAAGCATTTAAAAAAAAAAAAAAAAGGAAAAAGTGGGCTAGGTAATTCGGGAAAAAGTTCTCAAAGCATCCTCTGACCAGCAAGTAGAGGTGAAGAAAAGTGGAATGACCTGCCCAGGGTCACACAGGGAGACTCGCAGCCTTAACTCTCCAACAAAGGCCCATCTATCTATGGATTCCCTCCTTCTGGGGCCTCCTGAACCTGTACATTTTCTCTACTAGGAAGGAGACCTGTATTTTCTCTACTAGGAATATTCAGGTATGTATTTACATGACCGTGAACTATGCTACCATTTTTGTCTACTGAGGAGAGGTAAAATCTGTATGTCCCCTCCTTCTTATAAGAAAAGTGGCTTTACCCTATGC